CCCTCCTTTTACTGAGTACTGGCTAACTCTCTCTCTCTCTCTCTCTCTCTCTCAATATATTTATATATATACATACAAGTTATACATACATACATACACCGTACGCAGAAAACTGTGCTCCTTGCCCATTGGACACAAACTAAACCTGCGGCTTCTCGTATTAAAGCTGACCACAAAGGAAAGCCCGTGAACTTTGTTGTTTTGTGAAGTTTTGTGTCCAAAGTTTGGGATTCAAGGGTTCGAGGGCTTTCACGGCTCTCAACACTATTGCCCTGAGGTCTTAGTTGACATTTGCACCTAGCAAGCAAGGACCGAACATCTCAACTACCGATCCTCATCACAGTGTACGCAATTTCGTGTTGTTGGTCTCTGGGTTTGTGGCTGTGATTCGAACCAGCTCAACCCCAAACCGCTAGAAGGTTAACCCGAAAAGCCCGAAATGCTACGGGGCTTGGGCAGGCTCCCAACCTGCTTTGTGATGGCAGACCCCAAACCAAAAGTTGACTCCTGCAGGCATGGAATGGCAACAACACACTGTCCTTGCCATCTATTCGAACGGTGGTGGCATTCAGGAGCAACCTGACTTGATTCAGGCGGCGTGGAGCACACAGCGCATGTTCTGACCGTCCAGTTATCTGTAAACACACTTCATTACACAGCAGTTTCGACCATCGCTAGTGTCACTCGCAGATCGTGACTTCTTCTAATTCGCCTTTCCTGCCTGCAAGGACTCATGGCTGGAACTGCCGAAAGGTCTTCTGGGTTCGGTCAAAACAAAAGTTGCTTGGCCGTGGACCCCTAGGCAGCTGCCCACACTTCTGGAAACATTCAAAGCCCTGAAGCAAAATTCATTCCTTTCTTCACCGGAGAACCTGAACTGCATAACCAGATCCTGTCACACATCTCAAAAAGCAGCACAATCAGCCAATCCAAACCGCATACACAATTCAACTATCTGTTTGTCTATCGATCTGTCTATCCAACCAAGCCGGACCTAGTTTATTCAATCTAGCTTTCCGACATACATACACCGTACTTCTGCAGATCATAATCTCCAAACCTGAAGCACCAGCTGAGGCATTGCTGAGCTCAAGGCGCAAAGCGGTCTGCCAGGGACTTGTCTTGGTTGGTTTCTGCCCTCCTATCAGAGAGACAACGGCCAGGGCTTAGCTTGTTCGTTGCATCTGCGGTCTGTTGCTGTTCTAAGTGGAGTCGAAGAAGATGACTCGGCTTTCAGAGACTTTCGAGCTTGTGTCGGCTTGCGACAGGAGGGAGAGCCCACGAAGTCGATATAGGCCTTCCCAACTTTAAGCATGATTTTGCTAGGAGAGTAGTGAGATGCATAGGAACGTGGAGAGCTCTCTATCACAGGCCACTGGCAACTCAAATGAATGCTTGGCCAAGACCCTAAAGCCATCGAAATACTTGAATGATGAATCCTAATTCCTAACATAAAATCTCTACGGACCCTACCCAAACATGTAGGTTGCGGTAGGTTAAGCTAAGGTACGCCTTTGAGCCCCGAACTCTGCTAAATTCTAATATGACCCGACCTTTTTCTCGTGAAGAAAGGGCTCCTGGACTGCCGCGGATCCGAATTCGCGGCGTCTTGGTCGGTAAACTTCACCTCTTTTCTGCGTAAGCCGTGGCGATCCTGCTAGGGTTTAGGGTTCAGGGAGCGTGAGGCCCAGGAGAAGTTGAGAGATGCAACCTGCAGAGGCCTGTCGAATTTGGGGTACACCGTGGTGCGGAAAAACCGAAGACCTCAATCGCGGCTCATGCATCTTCTGTCCTGGTCTTCGGGAGGCGTCTCTGCTGCTGTCGAAGCCGAGTCGGTGTGAGAGGGTGAGGCACTGAGAGGCCTTGGAGGGCAGTCCCTGTGCAGTTTGAGAACCCCCATGGAGGCTCCGGGCTTCGGGTTTAGGGCACAAGGCCAATCCTCATGCCTATACCTGAAAAACCACTTCGGGAGCAGCCGAGCGACTGTGATAGCGCTGGTGGTGTGGAAAGGCGGGGCATGAATGTGTCAATCAGCCGGCGGAGAGAATAAGAAGTCTCCTTGGCTGGCCGAGAGCTTTGGGACCTGGGTGGATCCATCAACCTGAAACCCTTTTTGTAATCTGGGAGCGGCTTCATTAAACAAGATTTTAGACCTTGAGCAACAAACATGAAGCACTACTTCCTGCAAACGGGGCTACATGATTCGGTCTGGCCACATTACCTTCAACTTATTCGCCTAGTAAGTCACTGAGCAGCAGCCGGGCCCATCGTGTCATTGGTTCGGAACATAGAGACGTTCACCCCATGAACCCGCCGATCCCCCCATTACCAGCACCGTTATGCGCAAATCCAAGGATGCTTTCATGTAAAGCCCACAGCTTGATCCTGAAACCCGGAATCTTCACATTCAACCCTCAAAAACAGCCGAGCCTCTTTCTTTCTGGTGGTCTCGTTTCGCAAATTGAAGCGCACGTTCAAACAACACATATGGAATCACGATTGAGCTGCAAGCGGCGGCGGAAGCATCCAAGGGATCCCAAAGAGGAGACAAGCAGTTCAGTGTCACTTCTTGCTGAACTGCCGGTGTGTCTTGCGATTGCTTCGGGGCCGATTTCCCATGTAAGGCAATTGAGGTAGATCGACAAGTGAAACGGGCCGAAGTCAATTTCGGTAAAAAAGCGAGCTTGATGGCTGTTTGCAGTATCTCTACACGTTTCCCAGCTGCAAATTCATACGTCGATATCGTACTTGTTGTATAATAGGTATGTCGAACCCCAGCCGACTGCCCTGTATCCAGGTCCAGAGTCAGAGATTCATTGCAATCCAAAAACATGATTGAAGCATTCCTGATATCTTCCCCCAGCCTCCTTGTGAGGCTTTGACTTCCCGCAATATCCCCTCTGAGCCCTAAGCCTCCTGGTGCAGTCGCATCGCTTCTGTGCAGGTTGCACGAGTGGTGCGGCGGAGGGCTCCGTGTCGGCCATGGCTGAGAGGGGGTCTAAGCCCGGTGCTACAGCGATGTGACCGGGGCCTTGAAGCCAGAATCAGAAGCAGCGAAACTTGTGGCATTTCAAAAAAGGTATCTTGTGCATAGTATAGCCGTATAGCCTGGTAATATAGTGTAGTCCGGTCTAGTATGGTATATAGTATAGTGCTGTATATGATAATGAAATCAATGATCGTGACCGCTACTCCTGTAGACGCAAATCCTTCTATCACCCCCACTCCGCTTTGCCGCAGTTGCACTCCTGCTAGACAGATGTAAGTCGGAGTCCCGTGTGCTGGCACAGATTCACGGATCAACCTGCGCTGAACCGAAGTGATCGGCCCTGAATCTGAACTCTGGCTGCCCCATGCAGCGGGTTGTGGTCCTTGTGTCGCGCCTGCTCCTGCATTCTGCGCACCTGCCAGGGAAATCAAATCCCGCCTGCTGCGCAAAATTCTATGGCTGTTCTGGGGTCTTTGCTTGGCTTTCCATAACTTCGTCTACCGCAAACATCGCCTTCAAGCTCGGGCTTTAGAGACTCTGCTTATCTTCTACACCTTCCAGCAGAAGCAAGACCATGGTGTAGCAAACTTTTTGCAGAATGGCCCGCAGCTGCCATTCGGTCGATAAGCCTGCGATTCGAGGCGTGAAATGGGCAATCGGCTTTGCCTCCGCCACGAATTAGTTGCTGAGTGTGCCGCAGCCACCAGGGCTCAATTTCTAGTGATTGCTATAACAGAACAAGGATCTTCTCACGGTCCTGCAGGTCAGGCGAGGCGGCAAGCATATCCCACACAGCCCCGCTACCTATTGCAGTTGCAGTCCTCGAAGCGAGCAGTCAGCAAATGCGTGCCATCCTCACAAAGATCGCACCAGCCGGTTGAAATCAGCTTCTTCGAGGTCTTCTTTCAGAAAGTGTTGGATCTTTGGAAAGAACCCTGCGCAGCCACATCTTATATACAATATTACATTATTACATTAAATACATAATTTTTGTACATTACATATGGAGCTCCCGAGTTCCCCTACAAGAGTGTCCGCCTGGCAGTCAGCTCCGACTCCTGCTCCGCCGCCGCTTCGAATCGCTTCGACCTCGGATTGACCATTTAGGGTTTACGGTTTAGGTGCTTCGAGATTTTTAAAAGTTTCAGGGTTTAAGTCAGATCGTACAGGTGCTCCGGATGTAAAGGGATCTGAAGGGCACTGCGAACAACAAATGCATTCTGAATGCAGGCACTGCCGCTGTGAGTTCTGCATGCTTGTGGCTGCTGTGCGCTGCTGCACAAACCGCACTCATCCTTACTCCTCTCAGGGGGCCCCTCGCACTCACCCTCGGTTCGAGATGAACTCATAGCACATTTATTCGAGTAACTTGTATTATATATTATTATATATGTATCAGCTATCTAGTTCTAGATGGAATACCTATATTTACATCTATATATTTGTATGTGTATATACACATATACTATTATGTATACTATATTTTTCGTGTTCTTGTGCTTATACACCGTATTTTCCCTAGTGTTGTCAGTCTTCTCCTCATTCTGTCGTTTATAATTTTATGCTATAACGATTACTATTGCTTCTTCTACTACTACTACTACTACTACTACTACTACTGTTATGATGCTTCGCTCATACATCTATAGCTACATATATAACTATATAATAGATACATGTACATCTACATGTGCATATGTTCATTCTATCATAGATTCAGGGTTTCAGCACTCACACTCGGACAAGGGGTTTCGGGCTTTAGGTTTTTTGACACCCACTCTCGGACGAAGTCAAGCAAGATCTGCAGACAAGGTTTGGGATACCCGTATCAGATTCAGTTTCATTGCTACCTGTTACTTGAGACAGTCTGTTAACCTCCCATAATAACCACTGCGGCCCCCATGTAAAAAACCCGCTAACAACAAAAACACCATGGCAATGGGGGAAACAAGAGCAAAAGCAGGAGCAAGTTGCCATACGAGTGACAGTAGAGATAAAAACACACACACACACACACACACACACACACACACACACGCACACACACACACACACACACTCCCCCTAACAATAAACACACTTCCCGAGTTTTAGATGTTTCCATTGGGTGGGCCTCGGTTGAGCATTGCTAACTACATTGACTGCTGAAGACCTTGACCTCAGAATGAAGCTGCACAGGCATGCCATCTCTCTGAAGCAGCTTTTGGGTCCAAGGATCCGAATCAAAACCTGAACCACCAGCAAATACACACCGAACGAGCCCGACCCGGGGGGTGGGGGGGAATGGCTGACGCTGGGCTTAATGTGGCGTCCAGCAAGGCCCGCACGCCGACGAGACCGGGAGCGACGTGGGCGGCGATCACGATCACGCCTCCGCTATCGGGTGGAGAGTTTGCAAAAAGTGTCCACAATGTATATATATATATATA